TTTTTTTTTGCTTGGGGTAACATATATTTGCCTTGTATATTTTTCTCACATACTTTAATAAATTTCTTATGGTGCAAACAGGGAAGGAAGACATTGGAGTGGGTACAGAAAAGTATTCATGTAAAGTATTAAATGCAATGGAAATAAAGACAATCCTTATGGTTAGGGAAATGTGTAAACTAATAATAAAAATTTCAAGGGCTTGAAGTTTCCTAGGCAGTCTGGCATAAAACAGAACCATGTTTTCTAACTATTTCTCTTGTTCACAAACTAGAATCTAGCTCTAAGATCTGCCAGCCCTGGCTTTGGATACACAGTGGCTATATATAAGAAGCTAGCTCAGAACTAACTTCCTCATTTCCCTAGAAAAATATATGCACCTCATCTTTCATCTTTGTAAAATTACAACTCCAGTTGCGCAAACCTATTGAAATTACTGAGGAATGAGTTAAGTAACGTATGTAAAATTCTTAGCAGATTGACTAGCATACAATAATAAAATCGATAATAATTTAATTAACACTTGTGGGATGCCATCGATGAGCATCCTGAGTCCCAAAAGTTGAATGTATGCTTTCTCATCTGTTTATCACTACCTTATATTACAAGTTATATTGTATTTCTTACTATTTAAATAAGAAACTTGGAGTGTGAAGGTATAGAGACCCAAGGGCTTTGATTTTTGAAAATAAAGGTTTAATACAGATTGTCTGACTCCAAAGTCCCTTGTTTTAACTACTAGTTATAATCTGAACATATTAAATATATTTGGCACATTGAAGGCACTACCTAAATAGTACCTATTCTTCTTGTTATTATTAATAGCAGGGTAGATGCCTTGGCAAACAAGGATTTGGAAATAGTTAAGAGGTTGGTTAATTTCTCTTCCAAAGATTCCAGTTAGTAAAATTTTTGTAGCAAACTATTCGCTATTCTTGAATGACACTTCACTCTACATTGACTTTGGAACCAACATTAAAATTCTGACTCAGCCACACTCTTGTTACATGACTCTGGGCAAGTAGTTTACCATCTATAAAATCGAGACAGTAATGCCTATGTTGTAAAGATTCAAGAGAAATAATGTATAAGACGTATTTGACAAATTGTAGAACTTGTGCAATGATGCCAAGGATGGCTAATATTGCCATAAATATTTATACTTCTTTATGTTTTTATGTTCTCTGACTCTCCAGTGGCAACTTTTTTTTTGTATTGGGCTATGTTATGTTTTGAAGGAGATGTAGTTCATCATATCATTTGGCTACTCCAAAGGAAAAGGTCAGAATTGGTGTGTAAAGTTAAAAAGAGAAAATATAAAAGGAGAAGGAGAAGCTGGAAGTGTAGAAAGTGGAGCTAAGAACGAAGGATGGCAGAGATGTAGTAGACTGTGTCCCTGGCTTGATTTTCCTCTAAATGTGGGGTCGCTGCTAAGCATCATGAATTCTGATGATGGCAAAGCAAAGGCTTTCAATATGTCATGAGTACCTCCCCTTCCATAGAAATTAAGCAACGATATGGAAGGAAAACAGCATCAAAGGTTACTATTGCATCTAGTTATATCTTCATATGTAATTAAGTCACTCAAATTACCCAAGGCTTTACTATGACAGGACTATAGTAAGTGCTAGATTTGCCTTCATGACAGTTGTGCCAACCAATCAGAGTGCAAAGAGAATATTCTAATGGTGATCAATGACCCTACATGTAGCAAATCAAGAAAAATCTCCCACTACATGCAATACATTCAGGTTCACATCACACATTTGTGTCTTTAAGAATGGTTTCAAGATCATATTTTAGAAAATCATTAACCTGAAGTTTGATAAATTTGAGAACCTTTTTATACAGGAGGAAGAAGAAATTATGACCAAGGCTATAAGGTTTTCTGCATCTTCCATGTTTTGGGCTCTGCAAAGGTTGGGAAGGAAGAGTGAGTATCACAAAGAGAACGACGCGGAGGCAGAAAATTCAGGCTCTATGGGCTTCTCACACTATAGTTATGCTGTCACTAATGTGGCTATTAACTTTTCCTGTTCAGATTTATTATGCTGTCATTAGAGCACTTTTCTTTGCTGAAGTATCAAACCACTATTACATATTTGTTGGCATCTCATCTATTTAAGGGAAACAAGTGATTACCCGTTTCCAAGGAGACTAATAAGGAGTGTGCAAGCAAAGGACTGCAGAGTTCTCCTTGGAAGATAACAAGTCTCTTGTATTTTATTTTTGATTAGATCATAAGCTACCTCATTGTTCGGGGAAAAAAATCAACTTTTCCTTACCATAAAAAAAATCCATAGGCACTAATTTAAAGGATTAACCTATAGGCTACAAAAATGTAAATAAATGCCCATGACTGATCAAAATTATTTTGGAAAATAACATATAATGTTTCCCTACAGTGAAAAGTTACTTCTTGAGTTTTAATGGTCTGATCTCCATCCGAGAACCACAGAGCCAAAATATGGTTCAGGAACTTCTGAAAAAGACAAAGCACAAGATCATGGAGAAGAGCAGAAGATTTCCACAGACTCTGTAACACATGTTTCAAAAAAGTAACATGGGCCCTAGAATCAGACAGAGGTAGTTCCAAATGTTGGCTGTCCACGTGGCCCAAATTATTTAGCATCTCATAGTCTATACCTAGCTTAAAATATGGCTCATCTCATGGAAATAAGTGAAACTCTGAATTGAGATCACATTTTCACATTGCCTAAAATATTTCTATCAATGTATATTTCAGATCACCATTCACTTAATTCAAGCAATTATTGTATTCCTGCCTTTACTTAGAGAAGCAAATATAGAATAAGACACAGTAGACTTTAAACTCAAAATGCTCACAACAAACCAGGTGCTGATGGATCATGTCCATAATCCTAGCTACTCAGGAGACAGATGTAAGCATAACAGTTCGAAGCCAGCCTGGGCAAGAAAATTCCATGAGACTCTTATCTCCAGTTAAT